GTAAGAGGAGGAAAATTGGATTGGAGTGGATGGACTAAACCAACTAAGGGAATGTTGAGTAAAAGAAACACTAAACTAAGGGAATTGAGTAAAAGACAAGTCAAGGTCGGGTTCACCTTTCTTTGTGTCAAACCAAGCTTCAGTACCTAAGAAAATTGCAGTTAAAGGAAAAAAAGCATGAAATTGAGTCGCTTCTCCCTAAGCCTTCGGAGCGGTCCAAGTAATAGCGTTGGGGCGCGCTCTGCCATGTACCGACGATCGCCGCGATCGCCGCTGCTGTCGCGAAGTATGAACGCTGCCTAATAGCTAGCTATACCTAACCCGGTAGGCCTCAGGGCAGGTTTGTCTATGGTTTGGGTCAAGTCTTTTGCATGACTTACATTTTCGTGGTACTTTAGGACGCAAACTGCGGCAATAAGTTGCAGTTATTTCAATGAAAATAGGTCTTCAACTCTATTGCTTCCTAGACATCGATCAGTAAGGTAGCGTTCAGAATTCGCGATGACGCGCCCGCGCAACGCGCACGCTGTAACACGGTACAATGGAAACAGCGCCCCAATCCTATAGACACAGACGCAGCAGCATACAGAAGTCGATGCCGCTTGCGTGTTGACAGAGTATAATGAAGCTGAAAGGGTACGCGTTGCCTAATCACGCAGCCCGGTATCGATCGGCACTGGCCGCTGGATGGCTTCAACGGAGGTGGCCGATTTCCGTTGACTGCGCAGCGCGCCACAGCGCGTCGACGCGCCATCGCAAATTCTAAACACTGCCTTTTATAATACCCACCATGATTCACTATTTATGCTTAGAGACTCCTTTGGTCTATTAATTCCAAGAGGCTAGGAGCAAGTGACTGCGAGTCAAACTAACGCGAAATCTCACTTCCCAGCTTTCTCTCCAGATCCTTAAATTTTTCTCGTAGATGCAACTTGAGTGGTCGAAAGAAAATTGATCAATGACAGGATTTCTGTGCTGACCCCTAACATTTGGCCTAATTCCCATGTTTCAAAATTCGGCCCATTTCATCATATTTCCATATTTCTCCTCCTTAATGAGCCAAAGTGCTTATCAGATTTCTAAAAACAGATCATTCGTTGACAATGAAACGGCTTAGCGGTTGAAAGGTAACAATATCGAAATCATAGTGAAATGTGCTTACATCATAATACTTCCGTTGAGCAGCTTTCACATATCCGTCTGTTGGTGGCTCTTATCATTCCCCACTGGCGAACAACTTTGAGCTTTTACTTTTTGTCGAAACTCGAGAGTTTAGCGGTCGAATCAATTCCGACTATAACACTAAAGGATAGAAACATCTTGGCTCACTGAGCCTCTTGCCCATTGATTCCATGGGCCACGGTTTAACATCAGTCGCATGCGGAGTAAAGCTGCGAACAATCACTGGTGACCCTTGTCGGACACTATATCACAACTTATCTCCCACCACCAATGTTCCCTAACCACCTCTGAATTGCCTACTGGAAGAAGTTCCGCTATTGCTACAAGAAGTTCTGCTATTGCTACAACTCTGCAGTGAATTTTGTGGCTTCCTCTCTGAAGTGACCCTGTGGTATCTTTTCAGCTGTTGCTACGCCCTGCCACCCACCAATAGTGCTCCCATCCTGCCCCTTACCTTACTTCTTGTAAACGAGCTCCCGTTGTTGCTGTGGTCCACGTTGTGTGGGCGACTTTATCCTTCTAAGACTCCTTATGGTATCTTATCAGCTGTTATCACTTCCTGCCACCCACCAATAATGTTCCCATCCTGCCCCCATCTTACTTCTTGGAACCAACGTCTCGTCGTTGCTGTAGCCCGCGCTATGAATTTGGTGACCCTCCTCTTCTAAGACCCCTGGTATATCTTATCAGCTCTTATCAGTTCCTGCCACCTACCAATAGTGTTCCTGCCCGACCCCTCCATCACTCATCAGTTTGAGCGCATTATCGCTCTTTTGAAGGAAGTTATGAATTTCAAACACACATTCACACACATACACACACGCACACA